GGAGGGTGTCTTGTTAGGCTTAAACTATAACAGAATACACTCGGGTGATTCATATCTTTTTAACATTGAAATACTATCTTGTACATTAATATAATGGAGAGGATATATGTGTATGTCATCTCTCTGTCACAGTAATCATAAGCCCTCTGCACGTTCTACATTTATTACACCCCACAGCATGCTGAGGATGATCCATGTGCCTCAAGGGAATGTGACATTTTCATTTTCGCATGTCCTGCTGCCATCTAATGGCATCGAGCTCAACCTTCACCTTCTCTGCTAAAAAAAAAGGGAAGAAAACCGGTTCTGAAGTTCGAACCTTAATCTGCATAAAGCAAACAGCTAAAAGTATTAAATGCTTTAATTTTTAGAGTCATAAAAACCTCGGGAAATTTAAGTTAATTAAACGTTGTACTAATTAATAGGCTTTTTGTCCTGCATAAGCTATCTAGAGTCACACATAGCACCTCAGTTAGGGGTGTGATACCATGTTCCCAGCCTGAAGGTGCCAGTCATGGTAACCCACACTAAGGGTTACCCAAGAGTGGGTTTTTTTAAAGTGCAAAGCAGCTAGGTCCATATTGCCAAGGAGCCTTGGGGGCTTATACACCCAGACACCCTCAAATTACTGTGGTGGAAGGTATTAAATTGCACAAACACTGGTTTTAGCTTGTAGGAAAAGAGTGTAAATTAACCTTGTCTGCTGCAAAACCAGTTGGGTTGGACAGAGGCACATACTTATGCCTGTATATATATATAAAAATATAGATATAGCTATAATATGAATGAGCTCCACGCTGGAGAAGCCTTTAGCTTTGAAAATCCTGTGCTAGGTCTTGGCACCCACTGAAGCAGGACAGCTGAAGATACAAGGACTATGGACAATTATTGCTCCTGACACTTTTCCACTAAGCAATAAATCAATCCACATTGTCCTCAGCTCTGACAACCCACCTCAGCTTGTGAGCTGACAGGTACAGTTCCAGGTCACTGAGTCAAATTCATCCTCTAATTTCTTTCTTCCCTTACCCACTAATTCTGTATCAATGTTAAGATCAGATTAGGTCTATATTGGGTCTTACATGCGTGGCCAGAGACTTGTCAGTGGGAGGTCTGCAGGGAACCAAATGAACACACACCAAACAAGCCATGAGCTGGGCCTCATTGCTGCCAGCGTAAGGAATAACCTGGATCGACTCACTGACAAAACATGGCTATTCCTGCTCCTCTGTAGCAGCAACCAGCATTGCCCCACTGACCTCAATATCTTCCCAACATCTCTCAGTGGCTTGGTTCCTCAGCACACATTAGCTTTAGATCTGCCTGTTGATGACTTCTTCCTGACCTCAAAAGCTTCTCTATGCTTCAGTTGATATTTTTTGGGCCTGTTCCCACATGGACCAGGTTCATGGAGTCCCTGGAATTGATTTCTTGGGGAAGAGGTTTCTTTCTTTCCAATTTAGGCACTGGAGAAAGAAATAATATTAAAATAAAAACAAATGGAAGTCCTGTAGATGTGTGTTGACTAAACATCAGTGTTTTAGGAGGAAGGTATCTTTCACTGGGATATTATTGTTGGGACAAGCTAATAAACCTGATACACAGCAACTCACTAGCTACAAGATTTGATTGCATATATGCTAATATCTAATATAAGCTGCCAGCAGTCAAATAACTGCATGTCACTGGTGACAGAGCCCCACATTAACCAGAAGTCTTTTTATTAGTGGATGACCATTGTCCCTTCTGAAGAGATAGAAAGGAAACTCTCTTAAAACTTCCCACTGGGTAGGGGTGTTGGGTTTAAAGCTGCGTGGAGAAAGCGAATTACATTTCATAGAGTGCTTAAACATTTGGTTTTGTTCAGATGAGGACCAAGAGCTGAACATCACTGCAAAGTCAGCTGCAAACTCCAGCTGGGCTGGGATTTGGGGGAAGACCACCAAGTGGGATGATCTTGCGGACATAGGGATGCAGCAACCAACGGTCTGAGCAGCCGACAGTGATGCTTGGTCCTTCCAAGCCCTTCCCACCATCCACTGTGATCTCTGCAACACAGTAAAACCCAACCACCACCACCACCAAGGTTTCACTGGAGTTTTCCAGCCAGCTCCAACACTCCCCACTCAGTTATCCGTGTGTGGCTCCTGTTTACAGCTGTATTTTCTCTCCCCTCTTCCATCACTGTTACAAGGGTCCAAGCAGAACCACACTGGGGGGCTGAGGGCTATGCCAACAGTTTTAACCTCTGCTCACATTTCATCAGAGATCTCTGCAAGGCAGAGTTTTCTGGTAAATGTCTCTGCTTTACCAAATACTGCCTTAAACAGACAACTGCTTTAAGAAGAGGCTTGCTCTGCTCTATGGCAGTGACACTGTGGACCATTGATTCTTCTTTACCATCACCATCTTCCAAGGAACATCTCACTCTTACACAGGACTACCACCAGCCCACATCAGCACCAACTTCAGAGCTCAGTCAGTTTTTAGCTGCTGAAGGCACCAGCCAAGGTAGGCAGTTACACAGGACACGTATCGCCTTGAGACACAGATGCACCTAGTGAAACAACAACATTTTGTCTTTATTAGGAGTTCCCATGGTAATATAACACAGAGTTCTTCAGGGAGAAAACACAAGACTTGGGGTTGGGGTGGGTTTTTTTTGCCATTGAGACAATGGTCAAATATCAGTACTTCTTTTTGTCTACACACGATCAGCTTTAGCACTTACAGCTCCTCCACTCATGGTTCACAATCACAAATCCAAGGGTTAAATCCAGCTAGTATTAAATCCTACTTTTTTTTTTATTATTATTTTTAGAGCTTCAAGTCACTGCGGTTAATTAATTAAGTCATCGTCTTTTTTTTCTTTAAGCATTTACATATGACATTCATTAAACAGACACAAAGCAGACGAGCTCTCACAGGAAAAAACATGCTTACATAGCCTGCAAAAATCTTTTTTTGTGATTTTTTTTTTTTTCCTTTTTTCCTTTCGAAGAACAAATTAAAACTAAAAAGTCATCATGAGTCAGTGAAGGAAAAAAAAAAAAGGAAGACTTAAGTGAATACTGAAGAGCCGCAAGTGTTTCGCAGAGTTGAAACTGATCTGCAATTCTTTTTTTCAAATTGATTTTAACATACAGGTGAAAAAAAAAAATGAAAATAGCTGCAATATATATTAAGTTCACGGATTACTTAACAAACAAAGTGCAAACTTTTTAATGCAAAACTAAAAGACCCAAGAGTTACAACTAAATGCAAAACACGTGGATGAATATGGCAATGTTGTTTTTCTTAACTTTTGTGTTCAAAGGGGTCTAAAGGAATGAGGTGCTGAAGCTGGGAGGGTTTTGGGTACCTACGTAACTTCCAGATCCTCTGCAAATCCCAGCGTTGACACTTCATAACAGATTTGGTAATTGTTTCTTAAAAGCCTTCATAGATATAGTTTTTCCCCTAAAAGATCCTGTAAACAGCATTTAAGAAAATACTCACAAATAGGGAAACAAGGTCAATGTACGTGGCAAAGCACGAGGAGAAGAGAAAGCAGAAGATGCAGCCAAGTGCCAGGGCACCCAGACAGCGGAGGGAACGCTGTGTTAACTGCAGGTGGAAAAGCTCTGTGCTAAGAGACAGGCCACGTCCTTGGGACCACCGAGCCCTCCAGCTAAATTTAAGTGAGAATCTAATGGTGCAGATTTATTCTCCATATCCTGAAAATAATGAGCTTCCAATCCTAGGGCTAAAGGACCTTCAATCCCAAAAGACACTGAAATGCTCAGATCCTGCTGACTGCCACAGAAGCTGGGGCTCCTAAATTCATTCAAGGACCACTCCTGGCCTCTGGTTTCTCAAATCTGAGGCATCTGAGGAAGGGTGGGGAACCACCAGGCTCTCTCATGAATACTTGCACCAAAGCAGACTCCTGAAGGAATGAGGGACTGTGCAATTCGCACCGTGTGTGAGAGATTCTCAGCTGCTGTTGACCCCATCGAGCTGCTCTGAGACTCCCAGTTACAACAGCTGGGCATCTGGACTCAAAACTGGAATGGCCACAGATGCTCAGGCAGACGCTCAACTGACCGGCCTTTTGGTGAAAGCTAAAGATACGTTCTCATAAAGTTTTAAATAACCACTGATCGATGGCCAGGAAGGGCGAACGCGGCTGCTACAGCAACACGATGCTCTATGCCCATGGCTCCCTGCTTATCCATTCCCAACTCCAGGATCAGAAGACAAACTAACTGCTAAAAAAAACTTCTCAAGAGGCATTGTCCCAGCTCCTCAGCTGGTACCCAGCCCCTTTGTTTGCACCAGCTCAAGACCTAGTACACTGAAGTGAAGATCATAGCTTATATGAACCTGCTCCGTGACCTCCTATTGCAGCTAAGTGGCAAGCGTTGGCTGGAATGATGCAACCTAGGAACACCTGAAGTACCAGGGTGGCAGTGGCAGTGACACCGGTGGGAGTCTGTAACTTGAATGTGGTTCAGGGAAGGACTGGGAAGAACTAGGAGATCCTCAGTTCTCAGATAAGGCTTCGTAAACACAATGATACAAACATATTAAAAACACACACATAAACAAACAAAAAAAATAAAGTTTCCTCAAGGACCTAATTTGCAGCAAAATCCAGGAAGGAAAAAGAAAAAAAATAATATAATGAGAAAACAAACCAACAGAACCAAAGTCCCCAACGATTCTAGCTCACCCGACGACTGGGTGCGATGCGCTTTGTCAATTCCTAGTGCTGGGTCCTGTTTCTCTCTCTTGGCAGCAGACATCTATTCAGTGACCTCAAAGGCAGTGCTGGGGAATGGTTACAGACAGGCTGGGATTCGTGTCCCTCTCTGCTTGTCTAGCTATCCTGCTGGAACACAGAACCTTATAGAATATCCAGTTTAAAACCCTTGAACTACTCTTCTGCTTGACATTTAAAAAAAAAAAAAAAAAAAAGAGCTATTTTTTACATTTATTGTTTATTTTTATTCCTTTTTTGTGTGTGTCTTAAAGGCAGCTCCCGGGAAATTCACTTTGTCCTTCCTTTATTAAAAGAAAGATGCTGAATGGGACAGAGGCCACATATCTCAAACATCCTCTTTACACTTACTTTTGCATGTCAGAGGTGTCAAAAACAGGGTTTATTTCCTTAAATGTGTAGGGACTGAGGGGGGGAAAGTGAGAAGGGTTGGTGAAGATGAGGAGGGAATCTGAGGGGACTGAAAGAGGCGCCTTACTTCAGCCCCCCCCTCACTGGTTGCCCGCAGTAACTGTCACAGGCTCTAAAAGAATCAAAAAGGGTCTCCAGGTGCCACCGTCCCCCGGTCCGCTGAGCGGGCACAGAAGGGCTCGGTCCTTAGCCCAAGCTGGTGATGTTGGCACGTCCGCCGGGCGGGGCCACGATGCGCTGAGTCGTGCGGCGTGGGATGTTGTCATCGATCTGTGCCCCTGTGGGAGAGAGAAGCAATGTCAGGTCCCCCGGGTCACAGAATCCCAGGCTGGTTTGGATTGGAAGGGACCTTAAAGCTCATCCAGTCCCAACCCCCCTGCCAGCAGCAGGGACACCTTCCACTAGACCACGTTGCTCAAAGCCTCATCCAGCCTGGCCTCCAACACTTCCAGGGAGGAGCAGCCACAGCTTCTCTGGCCAACCTGGGACACTGTCTCACCACCCTCACAGTGAAGAATTTCTTCCTAATATCTCATCTAAACCTCCCCTCTTCCACTTTAAAGCCATCACCCCTTGTTCTATCATTACCTGCCCTTGTCAAAAGGGGTAGTGATAGAAACTCTCAGTGAGAGTTTGAGATGAGCGAGTTGCAGGACAAGGGAGTCAGGAGAGTACAGCAGAGCCCTAGGCCAGGCTCCAATGGTGTGCACCAAAACACATCATTGTTGGAGGAAAAACCCCACCGGCCTCCTGTGCCTTAATTCCACTGAAACCTTTTCTGCATGAATATCTCCAAACCAAACACCTGAGCCACCCAGCCCTGCACAGATAAGAGCTGGTTAAATGGTTCTCCCTTAGCGAGCCTTTTTATCCCTTTTTCTCTTTTTCCCTTATTGCACTGAAACAGCACGCTGAGAAATCAAATCTGCCACATACCAGATCCACAGCTGCTCTCAGCTGGCAAAACTCCACTGAAGTTGGTGCCATCTGCCCTCTTCAGACACCCGGCTGAGGACCGAGCCCAGAACACAACGGGGTGCTCAGCATTCATGCCACGGAATGAAAATAAGCTTTATGATAGCTCCTATACTGCTGCTCTTCCTTTCTAAAGCAATAACCTCCAAGCTAAAAGTCTCCCTCATTGCCTTCCAATTTAACCACAATTAATTCAGAGTATAGGAGTATAAACAAGCTGTGATTTCACAGCAATAAATAATTTAGCCCCATAAAAGTACGTACCAGACAAGCTGAATCCAGACTGGTGCAGGTTCCTCACGGGTGGGGCCTGCTGTTTGGCAGGAGATGTCTTAGCTGAAGACGCTGGTGTGACGGTCTTCGGTGTCACGGACACTTCGCAGACGGGTCCGTCATAGAGGCCTCGAGGCACACCCCGCAGCTCAGCCAGCTGCAAGACACAGCAACAGCCAGCCTTCAGGGTCAACACAGCCTTCAAAACACAACTACACAGCTGGGCAGATGTTGCTAAGCCAAAGACACACGTTTCAAGATTTGGTTTTAGTAAGAGGATTTGAAACTGTACATCATCCCCTCTGTGCTGATCCTCGGGTGGCTGCTGCTCTCTGAAGCAACACGGATAAAAGGAAATGTGCTCTGGGCTGCTGGGGCTCCAGCAAGATGCCAGCTGGTGTGAGCAGCCTGGAGATGACAGCCAGCCTGGCCCTTGCACCCCAAGTTCTGTCCTTGATCTCAACCTACCTGTCGTCAACTCTTGACAACTCTCAAATAAAACTTGTTACTTATCCCCAAAAAGCAAAAGAACCCTGAGAGAGAGGTAGGGCTACATCAAGAAGAGTCGGGCTCCCTTCACATCACCAGCTCAGGAGCTTCAGACTGGGTTAAATGCAATTATTCCAGCTGAGTTGCTGCCCAATTGGATTTATAGGTCAGCGACATATTTCTGTGGGAGATCAGAACACAAGAGAAACCACAGATCTGTTCTCCGTGGTGCTAAATTATTTGAGGTTGTAATTTTGTTAACTTGCAATTTCTTCAAAAGAACAACTTCAGGGAAGATCATTTGCAAGGAATGTGAAGATGACCTACAGTCAGCAGAACTACTGGGTCTGGTTTTGTCCAGGAGAGGGCAACACTTCAAACATCAAAATACTTTTCTCCTCAGAAATCTGACTTCACCTAGAAATAAACTTCATAAATTCTCAGCAACTAAGCTGCAGCTGAGTTTAGTGTCGTCTTCTCTGTCAGATTTTACCAATTAAAGGCAAATCAAAAGGCAGTTTCTGTTCTGAATGGGTGTATTTTACAAAAACACTTTTCCAACCATTTCAGCCTCTTAAAAATAGAAAATCCTCACTTTTAAGCAGTCAGTAGGCTGTGCTTGTGACTCACCAGTCACCAGACAAGAGCATCTGATCGTATCTGACAGAAGGGAAAGTAGCATAATGTATCTATAAAAACAAATTAGAAATCTAAATTCTTACTGAAAGGTTCAAGATATAAATGCTACCTATAACTTCTCATAGTACTTCTGTGACAGGAGAAACCTGCCAGGTTATTTGCAGATTGACTCATGCCTGAAGTGGACAGTTCTTGGACACACGCTCTGTCTAGGCGTCCCAAGACAGAGAAGAACTAAAGAGCAGAGAAATAAAATTTGCAGCAAATCCAAGCTGAAGCCAAAGAATACTCCTGTAATGACTCGAGTGAATAGCAAAAATGAAAGAGGAATGAGATAAAGATGGCTCCTATCCAGGGAACATTTTCTGTTGCAGAAGTGTGTCTCTGCGAGCCAGGGGGATGGCATCTGTTTTCCACCCACTTGAACTCAGGAGTTGCAGTGAGAGAACAAATGTGCATCCAACCGTTTCTACTCACCCTGCTCCTTGCTTTGATGCGCTTGTAAACGAAGTCAGGGAAGGGTTTCCTGGGGATATACCGTCCAGATCCCTCGGTGACATGGAGATTCCCATCCTCCAGCACGATCTTCCCCTGGCTGATAACCACCAGGGGAGACCCACGGCACTCCATGCCTTCAAAGATATTGTACTCCAGAGACTAGAACAAACAAAAAGACACCATGAGGCAAACATACTTATCCAGCAAAGTCTGTGGTGCTTTAATTAGCAACCACCAGTCAGGCTAATTGCCAACATTTTAAGGACAGATAGACGCAAATCCAGCAGCATTTACCTGAGTCATATATCCTTCGTTTTAACAGAAAGTATGGTCTTTATTATCAATCTAAATTTGGTGACAAGTTACTCGTGCAAAATTTCCATTGCAACGAGATTCATAAAGAGGAAATGGCTGAGAGAGTTGGGGTTGTTCAGCCTGGAGAAGAGAAGGCTCCGGGGGGACCTTCTAGCAGCCTCCCAGTACCTGAAGGGGCTTCAGGAAGGCTGGGGAGGAACTCTGGCCAAGGGCAGGGAGTGACAGAACAAGGGGTGATGGCTTTAAACTGAAAGAGGTGGGATGGAGATGAGATGTGAGGAAAAAATTCTTCATTATGAGGGTGGTGAGACACTGGAACAGGTTGGCCAGAGAAGCTGTGGCTGCTCCTCCCTGGAAGTGTTGAAGGCCAGGCTGGATGAGGCTTTGAGCAACCTGGTCTAGTGGAAGGTGTCCCTGCTGATGGCAGGGGGGTTGGGACTGGATGAGCTTTAAGGTCCCTTCCAACCCAAACCAGCCTGGGATTCTATGAAATAGTTTCAAACAAAAACACCTCAAAGCCAGCGTGTTTAAATGCATTTTGGCACCTTTCTCTTCTGAATTGCAGGGGATTTAAGAGCCAAATAAAGTTTTAACTGAGTTTCATACTAAAAATAATGATAATTTTGAAAAGCTGTATTTCAAACCAGTGTTTTGGTTGATGGGTGAGAGACCAGGACAATCTTGTTTTACTCTAATGGGATTGCTCATCCTCAATTAACAAGATTGGAAACATCACACCAGGGAAAAAAGAAAAGGTTTAATGGAATCACTGGTAAATGTCCCACCCATAACGTATCCTGGAATGAGATGCACTACAACCATGTTATTTGGGGACTGTTACTCTAGTGATCATCTCTGAGAACAAATCCAGGTCTTTTTTACTGAGTTAATAGTGGAGTTTGTTCTTGAAGTGTGTTATAAGTACGGGTAGGCTTTACTGCAGGCTTACAATTAGCTAGAATGGCGGTTAAACCGACACTGAACTGGGTCCAGTCTGAAAAACAGTTGTGGTGGCAAAGGAGGAGGCTTGGTTAGAAGCTTATGAATTAGGTTGGTTCCAAGAACAACACCATGTCCCTCTCTAGCTCCTAAAGTTTCCTTGCCAGACAGTGGCAAGAGCAGTGTGAATTCTTGGAAAATGTCCGTATGTTGCTCTAGCATTTAAAAATGTAACAATCATCTGATGCCACATAATCACCACGTCTCCTTGTGTCACAGCAACCACTCCTGCCTGATTTTCAAAGGGGCTTTTGTTTTATACTTGACCAAATCAGGGTGCCTTGCTTCTGAAGGCGTCACTCATATCAATTTCTCCTCTAGCACAAAGCAGACATGCAGCGAGAGACACAAACACCCCAAAAGGTCTAATGCCAGGTGTAACAGGGGATGTAATGAGAGAGGGGAAGAGATTAGAGCTGGACACATAAGGAAAAATGCTCCCATTTCTTAGATAGCCCTTCAAGTTCTAAACAAACCACTTGAAAATGAGAAGCCTTCATCCTCCATCGTCTTGGCACACTGTTGGAACTTAAAGATGCAGCCTTTGGCAAGAGCTGATCAAGTGCCAAGGCCTCTTACACGGTGCAAGAGTTCCAGGGGGATGTGTAGTCCTTAGCTCATAAAGCATTGCTGAATGGTCACTCCATTCAACCAACTAGGCTGGTTCTCCTTCAGCCTAGCCCTTATCCAGGGCAAAATCATGGAGTCAATCCTGACCATACTGAAGCGTATCCACAAAAGATAAAGTCTTGTATTAGGAAACTTAAAGAGTTCAATTAATTTCCTAAAGAAAACAGCCATTAAATGGCAATGACTTTCAAATATTTCATCCAGCAAACTACTTCCAGCTCTCTGAGCTATCATAAGCACAAACCTGGGTTCAGGCCACTAAATTTGGCACCTAATAGAGGTATGACCCTGAGCTCCTTTCATTAAGTCATTCCTCTCCAGACTGGAGATATGATGAGTCTGGAAGCACCTTTAAAGTGACTGAAGTGACCAGACTTCTGTGTCTGGATGTCTCTGTGAGAAGTCTAAGTACAGGCAGGATGAATCCAGGCCATCTGTGACCAATTCTGTCACAGAGTTAAGTCACAGGGAAGTGAACCAAACCTTTAAAAATAAAGTTTCTTTGTGCATGTGCCCAAGGATCCAAGTGTGGAAGAAAATTTTGCTCCTTCAAGCCCAGAGTGAATGAAAGCATTCACGGAAAAAAGAACAAGGAGTTTTTTCCAGGGAAACATTCCATAGGTTCATCGCCAGCAGTGAAACAAGTCGTCAACAAATGCAAACAGTGGTTGCTTTCTCTGAGACAGTGCTCGAGTGTCAGAGGGACACTCCAACCAGCCCTGTGCTCTGGGACCATTCTGCAGTTTCCCACAGGGTAGGACAGCTCTTTCACTGTAGGAGCCAGGTACATGACATGGGAGACAGCTGTGGGTCACCAGCAAAGTGCCTCTAACAGTGCCAGTACAAAGCATAAAGCCACAAAAGAAACAGGGAGGAAAGGTCTGGTTAATGTGGGTGCTGCCTTTTGCCTCCCTGTGCCAACTAACATTGGGATGATCACCAGTAAAATCACGTCTAAGTACGACTCCACACACACGTGCCATATCGGCACGTGGTGTAAATCCACTCGGACTAATTGATCTGGATCAGATCTCCAGCTAAGGTGTCCACGAGCTGACAAGCTTCACTGACCCCAACTAGAAAAGGGGCAGTGCACATTGCCACTGCTAGCGAGCCAGAAGGTCATAAATGACACATTGTGGTAAGAGGCCTTTTGATATTTCAGAAGATTTAAAGAGCTTTCTGTGTGCTAAGATCCAAGCATCCAACACTCAGAAAGAGCAGGCAACCTCTTTGCTCTGAGGGGAATCTCTGGGTACTCATGTGATTTCAGATTTGGACTCATTCATCTTCCCTTCTGCTCACACAAGTGAGCAGTACTGGATATAAGACCAGGGAGGGCTTGAGGCATGGAGAAAACAAAGCCCTGAGTTGTCATGAGCTCTAGTTCTTGGCAGCACAGTCTGGGATTGAAGGAAGAGAGAAGGAAATGAGCAGCAGAGCTCATATTGTAGAAAATATCCTTACTATGTTATGAGTCTTGGCAGAGATTGTCTTGACACTGTCAGGATCCCAGATAACCAGATCAGCATCTGAGCCCACCGCAATACGGCCCTTCCGCGGGTACAGGTTAAAGATTTTGGCTGCATTTGTGCTGGTCACAGCAACAAACTGGTTCTCATCCATCTTGCCAGTCACCTGGGGAAAGACAAAAGGAGTCACTGCATTAGCCAGGTGGGGATCACTCCAAAAAGCAAAGAGCTGACAGCACAGCAGATTCCCAGTGCTCTCTACAGGGGCAAAAAACTCAAGCAAAGAACCATAACAAGCATCTGGGGGGAGATAATAACACACTGCTGCAGCTCTTTCAGCTCTGAATGTCTAGTTAGAGCCTACACCTAAGACACGTGTGACATACCACAGCTTTATCCCAGATGATGGACATCCTCTCTTCAGTCCCATTGGTTCCTTCAGGGATCAGGGTGAAGTTGTCCTTCCCAACAGCTTTCTGAGCAGTGTTGAAGGTGCAGTGGGCGCTGCCAGTAACTTGGAGGTCTCCACTGGAAAAGACAATGATAGGTATTTAAGGTATTTTATTATCACAGGTTTACTCCTAAAGGTAAAACAGCCTTTTGCTTGTTGGCAACAACAGCTGTTATTTTAATCACCCACTTATCTCATGACAAAGCACGTGCTGTATGAACACAGAGAGCTCTACTCACCAGGACAGTAGTGAGTTGAGAAAATCAGGAGTGGTTGGGTCAGGACTCAGTGGTGGGGAAGTAACAAAAGCTGCTGCCTTAGCCCAATTCTTGCTCCAATAATGAGATCCATCGGTACCCAAGCTGGCTGTGATGGGCTCTCCATACACCACAGTGCCTACAGGAGAGGAACAGAGGCAAATGCACTGTCAGAACCAAGCAACATCCAGCTCCAGCCTGGATTCCAGGCATAGAGCATCCTTCTGGAAAAGGACAGGTTGGGTAAGTCGTGCCAGCATCGCTCACTGCAGGGTTTCTTGGTACTTCCCCTTAAGTATGTGATGCCAGAGACACAACATTGGATTGAATTCACTGGCCTGCATAACCAGATGATCAGACATCATTAAACTCCTGTCCTGTTCAATTCAATGCTCCTCTGATACTCTGTTATGTCACTAAGGACGTGTTTTCACAGGCAAGCTCTTAATTTTATATGCCCATCTTGAGATCTCTAAAGAAACACTGAGCGTTTTCCAAAGATCAGTCCCTCACAATAAGTATCCAAACATCTAAATACCTGAGTTAATAATAAAGACACTTATACTGACAAGAGCATGGAGCAGCAAAACATGCACAATGCCTTGACACAATGGCTAAGGTCAGTGCTGATTAATTGTGCTTGCAAGGGTTACTGTAAAGAGTCATTGTATGGTATCCTGGGCCAAGAACCTGATGGAAGAGGCTGAGGGGAACTGTAAGTGTGAGGAGATTCAGTCTGATCCAAAAGAATAAGAATCAAGAAAAAAGCACCTACAATATTTAATATTTCTATAAATGTGTATGTATTAAAGATCTAACAATCTTTAATCGGAGATTTATTGGAGTAGGCTCTGTGCCTAGATCAGGTAAGAGAAAACTCCTATCAGGGAAGTTCACTGGCTACAGAGAAAGCCCATCACAAAGGAATTATTGGTGGTTTTGCTTCACAAATACAGCTCAGGGAAACTGAGTGATTCCCCCAAGGGTACACGGTAAATCTTTGGCAGAACTAGGAAACTACATTGACTTCTGACTCTCTGTCCAGTACACTAACCACCAGTGCACTAACCACCAGTGCATCCTTCCTCTTCATTAACATTTTTGGAACCACATGAAGGAACAGTGGATCCTTAAGGCCACGATACTTTGCAAGCTGGAAAGCACCAGTGGCATCTGCACATCGAGCCGATGCAAGATGCTGCAACTTCAAAAGCTGGTAGCTCCACAGATCTGCTCAGCAAATGAAACCTTCCTGAAATCTCTATAAAGTGCCTTTCCATCTGGGCTCCTGAGCCCAGACACTTCATGTATTTGTATCTGTCTGCAAAAGAGGTGGGTAATTAAAACACTAACCTGAAATACTTCAATCAGAAAAGACTGGCAAAGGAAACCCCAGAATTGGTCAGCAGGGTCTTATCCACCTCACCAGGCAGAGTATAAAAATATGGTTTTTCACATATAGTTTGAGCTACTGTTATGTCTACAGGCTCCCAAGCTAGCTGGGAAAAAGTGTGTTAGCAGAGGCAGAACGATGCATTAACTGGCTTCATGCTGCTTCCAGGACCACACTGAGACAGGAGGTGCAGGACCAGCCTTTGTCAGAGGGGATCCACCAGCAGAGGAAGAGGCTGTCTGATGTCACTTGCCACAAACAGGGTTCTGAAATCAGAACAAGGCAAAACACACGCTGGATATTAATGGGAGGCCTGTTGTGGGCCAATACATTGGGAGGATTGTTCTGCAGGGAGCAAGGTTTTGAGCTTCCAGATCTGCCAACGGACAGAGTCTGCAGGGAATCTCCTCCATACAAATGCCACTGGGAACATCTGGCTCTCAACAACATGCGTTCTTTTCCATTTAGCAAATCAATTCTGGTTTGTTTTCGCCTTGGATAGTCTTCAGTTATGTTTCCTCTGTTGCTTGGGAGGGCAAGACTAGTGTGTGTGGCCCTTCTGGGTTACCCAGTTGGGTAACTGCGCACCATTTAAATTGAATTATTTAAATAAAGGAACAGAAAATGGCATGCCATTTATACCCCAAATTCTCCTTATAAGGAGAAAATGCAATCTGAATAAAAACTTCATATGTTAGTTCACTGTGCCGGCTAAGTAAAGTGAGTTCTGTGGATCATTTATCTGGGACAATCCCAGCACCTTTCAGAGGCAGGGTAACATCCAGCCACGTCAGGTTGTGTTTTATGGCTTCTGAGATGTAACTCTATGGTCCCTCATCCCAATGCTCCTACCTGCTTGCCAGCTAGTGGTTACAGGGGACAGTGAGCACAGTGAGAGGGTGTTTTTGTTGATGCTGCATCTCTGTGGTGTGTATGTCTCCAGTACTTTACCTAGAAAAAGGAAGGGAGGCTTCCCAGGCTTATAAAATGGAGTTGTGCAGCCACATCAAGCTGTTTTCTGGGGTAATGCAACACGCAGCCACTTTTGCATGTCGACACATCCTCTCATTCCAGCATGATCTCCACTAATCGGAGAGGAAGGTTCATCCCCAACAGCTTGAGCTGCTTCCATGACATGAAGAAAAAGAGACGCCTTGGAAATCAGTCCTCCTCCTCACCAATTCTGAACTCATTTAACAGGAATCATGGGACCAAAATCCTTCTGAGCCAATACACAAACACAAATCAGTTTGCTGCGGTAAGAAATCAGCTCTTCTCGCACCAAACACCCAGATGGAAAGTGATGTCATTTGTATATCCATTCAGGCTTATTTAGACTGCATAAAATTAAATCCAACCCTTCTGAGGAAAGAAGGGAGAAAATCATCCCTCCTGCTTACTCACCCACCCAGAGCTGCTTTAAATAGAAATGAAGGGTTTAGTCACAGAATAAAGCAAGGAGACAGACACTCACTGTGCTTTGTAACCCTTGCTCCTTGGGGGCAAGACAGCAGGGTCCAGACTTGGGAGAAGCTACTGCATCACTTGGAGCAGCTCAGCTCCCTCACAGACTTTGGTCAGAGAGAGAGGAGACTCAAGGCAGCAGCATCCACAGCAGCTTCAAGTCTTGCTTCTCTCAGCATCCTCAGGCAGAGTTATCAGAGGCGATTGTAATGCCCAGTTTAAACCAGATTACTGATCCCAGTTCCTGTTTGGATCCCAGGCTGTGAGTTACAGCACATGAGGAGTATCTGCTTCCCAAGTAAGGAGCACAGTGGATAGCTGGAATCAGTAACCTCTTTGGCTACTCCAACTAAATCCAACAGGGCTTGTGAGTCAAGACCTCTGTCAGGACTCTTGGACTCATTTCTGACCCCAGGAAGCAGCTCCACAGAAAGCACCAAGGAAAGACCAGAGCAGCTGGAAGAAGGGCACAGCTTGCCATCTCCAGAGGGATTAATTAAACGGAGACAGCATGGAATTACTCTGTGATAACATGAAGGCTCATGGCTCGATGTGGTAGGATGAGTGTGGAGAGAGAGGCTCTAAGCTGAAGAGAAGAAACAGATCCTGGCACTGATATGATGCCTGAACGCCTGTCTATTGGAGATGAGACAAAAGCAGTTGTTGGGACCTTTTTAAAAAGAGCCTGGACAGTAACACTGGAAAAAGAAACCTTTCCTGTTGGGATGAAGCTTATGTTGGCAAGGAGTTGAACTGCATGAGCTAATGGGGTGCTTGCATCCAAGGGAAATAACTTACCCTTTTTCCTGGCCTGAGCAATGACTTCAGCTGCACTTTTGCTCATCACCTTGGTGATATAAAGGGGGCAGTTGGTTTGGTTGGCAATGGTTATCGCCCGGTTCACAGCCTCCGCCTCCACCTGAGAAACAAAGTCAGCAGCAGGTTAGTAGTGTCCCCACATGTCAGCACATCCCATTCACCTTTGGAGGGTCACAGCCTCTGCTTTCATGGGAAAACAGGGTGTACAGGGCCAAGATGAGACTTCTCACCTCTCCAATTCTGAGCCAGTAAAATGTACAGTGTAATCAGGATAACTAAAATGACATCCAGCTGTAGTACCCCCTCATTACCACCTTTTCTCCAAGGCTACTTCAAAGTTTCTCTGCAAGCAGAACAAGTCCTACAATAACACTCCAGGTGCTTAAGGTCAGAATGATTAAGCCCTTTCTTTAACCTAGACAAAAATAAGCAACTAAATGTCGACACAACCAAACTATTCATGTTCCAGCCCACGCGGAAGAGAGATGCTGCAGCCACATACTCTGGTTAGCCACGTTTGCAAACAAGCCTCCTAAATTGTACCCTCTGCTACAGTATCTGGCTTGGGATCTGACAGAGTGTGAACCACCCCATAAATCAACTACTTCTTCTTGCATGTGTAGAGAGATAACCTCAGCAAGACTGAGGGTCACTTTTTAACTACAGCCTTACAATGAACATCATCACGCTGCAGAATTTTACGGATCACACATCCTCATCAAAGCAGCCCAGATGACAGATTTAACAGCAGGATAATGCTCATAGTGCCTAATGCCATGGAGAACTGAGCCTGCAATACCACGGACGTTTTACAAGCAAACAATAGAGGAAACTGAAACCCAGAGCAATGAGACACCTGATTCTCAAATGTAAGAGGCTACCAGCATCTCCCATGGACTCCAGTGGGATTGGCACACACTCAGCACTTTTGAACATCTGCTCTACAGTGACTTCTCGCTGGCTAAGCCCCGTAAACCATCATCAGTCCCAGAACCAGAATGCATTGGCTGCTGGCTCCACCAAAATACCTGAGATTAGGGACCCATCAGCTTAGGAAAGTGTGTATTGACCAGACTGATGTCCCAGTGCCCAGAACAGCTCTGCTCACACTGACAAAGCCACTGCTCTGTTTGCAGCTGGACTGCTCCAAGAAAACCAACAGGACAACAACTGAGGGTTATTAAAAGGAACCCAGCCTCCCTAGACTCAGCAGGTTGGTCTTTAGTGCCAAAAGGGTTAAAGCTCCAGCCTGTCACCACGCCAGGGCTTGTGACTAATCCTCCCCAAGCAGGGTGATGTACAGAAGGGGACATTTTCTGGCCCAGCTGCCCCATGCAAATGGAAAAGGCTGCGAGGAAGGGTGTTTATTCCAGGACATTTGACTCGAGTATGTCACAGCCAGCAGCACTCGCAGGGAAGATGGAGACTGAAAAGAAGAGCCAAGAAAAGCAGATCTATCCCTCCTGAGAGATGGGGAGAGAACTCAGACAGGCCAATGCTTCCAAGGGCTGAAGCACCTCTCCTACAATGATCCAAGGGCTGGAGCACCTCTCCTACAAGGACAGGCTGAGAAAGTTGGGGCTGTTCAGCCTGGAGAAGAGAAGGCTCCAGGGAGACCTTCTAGTGGCCTCCCAGTACCTGAAGGGGCAACAGGAAGGCTGCAGAGGGAATTTTTATGAAGGCAGGGAGTGATAGAACAAGGGGTGATGGCTTTAAACTGGAAGAGGGGAAGTTTAGATGAGATATTAGGAAGAAATTCTTCACTGTGAGGGTGGTCAGACGCTGGCCCAGGTTGGCCAGAGAACCTGTGGCTGTTCCTCCCTGGAAGTGTTGAAGGCCAGGTTGGATGAGGCTTTGAGCAACCTGGTCTAGTGGAAGGTGTCCCTGCTGATGGCAGGGGGGGTGGAACTTTAAGGTACATTCCCACCCAGTGCATTCTATGATTCCAGGCAATGGCATCAGTTTGCAAACTGCCCATGTAAAGCAGGGCTGCACACAGCTCTGTCACTGCAGCACTTGGAAGTCACATTTCCATGCTCTGCCTTCGTTTCCCCACTTGCAAAGCAGGGACAACACACCAGGCATCTCTGGACTTCTGACCAAAAGGTGTTTGAGCAACTGCTAAACTGGAGAGCAGTTTAACAGGAGGAGAATTATTTTCTGCATGGAAGAAAACAAGGCTGCTGAATTTACACCTTATGCCCAGACACTATGGTGACAGGGACACAACAATAACCCAACGACTGGTCCAAAGGGGAATGTTTGCAATTACCAGTATGCACTAGAAGCCCTAGCACAGCAGTTCTCTTGGAAAAAAAAAAAAGACAGACATTTCCTGGAGCACTTGGACTGCTTGTGCTTCCAGCGTTTTTGTGGCTAAAATAAAAACAAAAACTGACGGATCGCTCTGAAAAGTCATCACAGAATGATCTGAGCTATGAGGGGGAGACTTTTCCAGAAAGTAATGGGTGATGGTGACTTGGGATGGTGGTGTCTTAATTAAGGCTCCCTTTGCTGGCTGGAACAACGTGCTGAGTACTGTCACCTTAGCTCAACTCAGGTTACTGAGGTGATCAAGCTAAACTCATGAGTCAGCAGTGAAACTTAAGCCTTAATTCAATGCCTTCTGCTCAACCTGGGAATTCAGAGCTCCAAATACGACACAAACACACGTGGCCAGACCCTGGATGCTTCACTCAGACCTAAGTCTCACTGAATTGAGTGGGAGTTTTGATGGAATAAACATTTTAGACTCGTCCAACAATTCCTGATGGTTCACTGTAGATGGAGGTCTGAATTAAGCAGCTCTTCAGTAAAATGACAACCATCATAAAGTTCTTAGGACAGGCATTACACACTGTAAGTGTGAAAAGCCAGTTCTAGTGTTAACAGCACCCCAGGGGGGTACCAAGAAACATTCACTGCTACTGACAGCAACAGGAATTACGGATCTGCTGTCACCCTCAGAATCTGGCCTTTATCATCAACCAGCTGAAAGGGAGCTGTATGTTTTTAAAAACACAAAGTTATTCCCGCGTTGGAGACAAGGAGGGAGGGAACCAGATGACATCGTTTCCTGCTCTGTTTCCTATGACTTTCAAAGAGGAGAATTTTGGACCAAATGCTTCCACTCTGGGTAGACAGCACAGCTGAGTTCAGCTGCACAGAGGCTGCCCAGTGACACTGGGAAGAAGCTTTACGGATCCTCATTTGAGGCAGCCACATGTCCTCAGGCAGCCTCCCATGCTATCCTGAGAAACAACACATTTCTGCACAGATGTAACAAACCAACCCAGTCAGAGAACCACACAGTTCACACTTTAAAGCTCCTGCTCTGCTAAGGATGAGCTTGGAAGTAGCCAGACAAGACTTGGCTAGTTTGATGGTCAGATCCTTTAAGGTAAGGAGCAGCCTTCCTTTGAAGTCAACAATAAGTTTAGGGGTGCTCCATAGATAAGCCCTAAGTGTCACGTCAGCATCTGTTCCCGCTCTCCTGATGCAAGTCAAAAAATATGTAAGAAAAAAAAAATGCAGGGGTGGGTGGAAAGCTCAGTGCAAGTGTTTGTTCCCAATTTTCAGGAAGTAAAAAATCCCAGCTCCCAGAGCCAAACACAAATTCTGTGAGGATTCACATACTGCCCAAGTCAAGGTTTGGTTTTTTTTTTCCCCTTTTTTGCATGAAGCAGCTGAATGATTTATACTCCTACTGAAATGTCTCTGGATGCTGCTTGTCTGAACTAAAGGGAGAAAACAGAGAGGGAGCATGAGGGGCACGTGTGGATGATCTCACACACCCAGCTCCCAGCCGCCACATCTGGCAGTCAGCAAAGCCCCAATATCTTGGAGGAACAAAAAGAACTGCTTGTACATAACAGATGGACTTCTCAAACCCACAATGTCCTGGTGAGATGTCCAGCATAGAGACAGCGAAAAAAACAAAGAATGCAATAGGAACCAACCTGAAAAGCAAAGTTTTAAGGTTCTTTCTTACTCTTGAGATTTATTTTAAAGACTTAGAGGGAATGAGAGGGATTGGAGTGCTTGACCCTAGAGAAATCAATGGGGAACTATGGAGGTTAACTATTTTAAAGTGCTGGGCTAAGATCTGAGAATTAGCTCTTCAGTACAAACTTTCTGTGCCCCGAGTAAAAAATCCACCATCAGTAAAATGTTCATCAAATGATCAAATATTATGGTAACGGAAGCTATGCAAGTGCCCAAGACAGAATGCAGGATTTGGGCATATATTAAAAACTTCTGCTGATTCAGAGGAAGTCTTGATAAAATAAGGACCAAGAGAAAAGCCCAAGAGATGGGATCTAGCAAAGTCAGTGGCAGAATCCTGCCTACAGAAACCCAAATTCTGAAGTCTTTATTCATGCAAAACTCAACTGAAAGTGATGGGAAACTACAAGAACTTCAGGGTCTAGCTCCATAAAGACCAACAACATCAATGAGAACATGTAATTCTTCAGGGACTCCATCTTAACATGTTCCTGTGCAGCAGCTGACTCAAAGAATTGGTGATTCAGGTAGACTGTGCTCTTACCTGTGCTTCAGGTTCAACATCTTCCACATCTCCTAATGCAGCATTCCAGTTTGGGATATCAAAGGACTGAACTGAAGATGTGCTAAGTACCAACAGAGTTCTCTGTCTTGAGTGCTTATCATGGGTTCTGTGGTTCAAACACATCTCACCTCACTTCAGATATCTGATGTGTGAGCAGGGCCTTTATAGACCATCTCCAATAATTAACAGAAAGAGATGAGGTCTTCCAGAGGGTGAATCAAATCTTAGGCTGGATGAATTACTCCCTGGAGATGTCCCCTTCTCCAGTAGAGAAGCTGAGGGGGCTCCTGCATTCCTCCTAAGTACCCAGAGCAGTTAGTCTCTAGAAGTGACTAGTTACTAGTTAGTCCCTAGAAGTGTCTCAGCCTCTTTCCTTACCCCATGCAGCAATAATGTTTATAGTCAGGATGAAATCGTGGTTCTGGCCACATTCATCCCAACACAAAGTACTTGATGGCAATGCAGAAATGTTATAAACTGGGGGAAAAAATGCCAAGGCAGTAAAGTCCTCACCTCCTCAGGTCTGCTCAACACGTGCCCTTCAGGACCTGTGATCCCCAGCTCGAGGATCCTTTGCTGCTCCTAAGGCAGAGAAAAAAGAACAGGAAAAAGATTTAAAGCAACATGCATTTTTTCTTGCAGCAAATGCAGCTGTTTGAAAGAAGCACAAGTTTGATCCTAGGCATCTGTGTTAGCTAATAATCACACAGGGCTTTACATGAGGGTCTTACAACCAGAGTCCTGTCCAACCTCCCCTGTTGAGAATAACCAAAGCTTGTTGATTTGTTCACAGGAGGTCAGGGAAACCTTTTATTTTGATTTGCTTCACATTGTGTTCATAGTCCCTCAACTTTCACTGCTCATTTGCATCTATAAAATAATCTCTAAGATGTGTCAAAATGGTATCTCATGAAAAAAACATCCTGCAACTGCAAGCAACTGGGCTCAACGACTCGGGTGGGCTCTTTCCCAGCCAGACAATGCAGAAATCCTCTGCAACACCCAGTTTTGCATGCTTAAGATAGAACGTATAAAATGAGCTGGAGATCAGATTAAATCCAAATATGTTATTAACATTTCTTCTTTATTGCTGTTTAAAGGATGAACAGAACCCAAACATCACCATCCCAGGTCCTGTATGAAGCTATCTCCTTTTCTACTCCCCCTGGTCTTAGTTACCACAGAACATTTTATTGTACACAGTGAGAGTCACAACCAGACACAGTCTTCCACTTTTGGGGAGAAAGGCAGAGATGGCTGATATCCACCCCAAAATGAAAGTTGCCACAAAAACCTGCTTTATCAGTGGGCTAAGATTTGATGCACAGCTCTGCCTGCATCTTTGATACAGCTATGTCACACTTTTAAAAGTCTTGGTGATTTTCTGTTTGCAAAGAAGGAATTAAAGAGTTTAAACCCCTCCCAGTATTTTGAAGTTAATAATCCACAGAATAAACACAACATACCTCAGCAATGATGTCACCGTTCTCAGCATGCACTTGAGCTGTCGCGCCAATATCCCGGATTACACTCAGGACCTCGTATATCTGGAAGACAGAAAACACACATTACAATATACCCCGAGTGTGCACTCAGGGACACACCTATGATAAAGTATACACTCCAGACTCCTTCAGCATACAGAATTTTGCAGAATGGAAAAGAGAAAGAGAAGTATTAAGAAAGATAAGATGTGGTTTGCTGGATAGATATGATCCATTTTCCTGCCTATAACTGCATTTCCCAATCTGTACAGTCAGATGCTACTGATATAGCAAAGCAGCACTATACAAAAGCCAGGTTTGGTATATTGACCACACTGGAGGAAGAAACAGCAGCTGCACAGGTCTGCATCTGGAGTGATTTTAAGGAGCTAACAGAATTGTACGTGTTTCAATTCTTCATTTACCGGTGCCTGGCATGAAAAAAACCCTTACATTTGATTTTCACAGAGAACCTGCACCCACCCCTCTCACTGCCTGGGACAGGAGCAGCGTGATTTCCCACTCCAGCAACCAGTTTGAGAGGGCTCAGGTTGAATAACCCACAAGTGACGCCGGCTCTGTCAATGGTCACTTATTAAAATGCTTCCCAGAGTCATTAGAGATAACTGTCACACGCCACTGCCTCCTACGCCGTTCCAAACCACTCCCAGGCATTCCTCTCTGCCCACCACATTTAGAAATATAAACTGCCCATCTCAACAATTACATGTACCCAAACGTATCCACCAGAAGAGCAAATGGGACGGCAATTCCTTTTTAAGGTTCCCAGTGATTCTAACGCTAAAGCCAGAAACCCACTTCTGGACCAGGATCAGTTTCAGCTTATAAACACATCAAATATTATGCCAGAGATCTGAGTGTTCTGCTCTGTGCTCAGGCATAAAGCAGTAATTTATAAAACTGCCACTGCTTCCACACCAAAGGAGCTGGAATAAAACCTTAGAGCTGGAATAAAACCTTAGAGCTCTCAAAATGAGGGTTTTACCATTGCTTTCCCCAGGGTTTGTTGTTGGGTTTTTTTTAATTAAAAAAAAAAAAAGTCTTCAAACCAGAGCCCTGGGTACTGTTGCAAATCGTAGGTACTGTTATGCATACAAAGATTGAAACCAAAAGAGAATGTCAGATCTAAGTGTACTGAAATTAAACCCTTATGAGACCAATGCACAGCTGGCAGTGACAGAAGCATGTGAACATTAAATTAAGCCTTCCTACCTGAGAATCAGTTAGCTGAAAGCGATCTTTGAAAGCCATGTAAACCAAGAAGGAGTTCACACCTGGGAGAAAGAAAGAAATAAATAAAGGAATTATCTTTGACATACAAATTACAGGTATGAAACACACCGTTCCTCATAGAGAGAGGATGTCCCCCTCAATCAGCCCCACAGCAAGCAGTAAGGATGGGCAGACAAATAAATAACTTTAAGCTGCTGTGAAATGTGTCTGCACACGTGGATGCACACAGACACACACTCCCTCAACAGATCAGAGCGTAAAGCCAGGATCTCCTCAGCCATGTGGCATTTATTAACCCAACTGATGAGAACGGAGGAGCCTGCACTCCAGCCGTGGGGACAGCTAAACCCCCAGGCTTCCACTTCACATTGAAAGAAGAATAATTCTGTGGATTCAGCACTGTAGGAGGTTGAGTAAAAAAATAAGCAAAATGCAAAACACACAAAAGCAGAGACTGGGTCTGGCTGCCTGATCCCCCACTCCCTCCAGTGAGAGCGATGGGAAAGCTGTGTCTGTAAGCGTGTCCTCCCCCACTGTCCTCGTACTGACCAAGACACAGGGAATGCTCCTAAGTCAGCTTTCCCTCTCCTGCCTTCTGAACCAGTAAAAGCACCAGCACGTGTGGGAAAGCACTCATTAGGATGCAAAAGGCTGGGGTTTTTTTTTAAACTACAAACAGGATGGAAAATTACTTTAGCCTAAGGATGAAACGTCAAGGAAATTAAAGAGGGGAAAAACCTATGAGGTCATTTTATTCAGCTCTTCTCCACTTTTAGCAAGCAGTGCTGGATTGTTCCTTCTGGATCCAATTCTTCTCTTGTTTACAACAGTTTAATGGCCAAATCTATCACCTACCTGCACTAAGGAAAATCAAAGGACCTCCACTAACAAAGGTGCTCCTCTGCATGGCAGCAGCAAGAGGTTCACCTCTGCAAAATCACTGCTCACCCACCTAACACAGTGTGACACCAGCGTGTACCATCTCCCTGAGCCCTCCACAACACCAAACCTCCACAAGAACCCAGGATGGGCCAAGTTAATATCAGGGCTCAGAATAGGCTTATTGAGATGTAAGAGTAAAATATTTCACACAAGCCAGTCCTAAGAAATAGGGGAGACAGTCCTGAAAAATAAAGCAGGGGAAAGGCTTCCCTGAGCTTTCAGTAAGTGAACTTACCATGATCTTTAACCAGAGCTTCCATCTCCTCCTGGACACCTTTATGCCACTCGGTGATATCCACGTGCAGAGAGTAGTCACAGCAGGATTTGCTGTCTGCCCATTCTCGCCACTGGTCAAACGCAGTCAGCAAACTGGTCCCTGGCTCAGGAACCACGTGATCAACTGGGAAAGACAACCAAAGCACTGGTAAAGGGCTGGTGCAGTAGCTTTCCTGGATGTCCAAGATAGAAAGCATGCTTTGCAGAGCATGCTGCAAAAACAAGACAACCCTTTCCCCTTAAAATATTAGAGTTTGAAAGACCTGGTTTCTAAAGCCCCACATCTGACTGAGAACGCAGCCAGGAACCTGATTACGGAGCCAAAGCTGAAGGAAATAGTTCAATTACTCCAGCCTGTTTATTGCAATTGGTTGTGAATGGAGAAAATGAAGCTCCCAGGGCAGCAAACACAAACCACTGCAGAGAGCTCTGTAAAGACTGCTCCCCAGTTTGGGGACAAACAAACAATGACACAGGCAAGATCCCCTGTGAGCAGCTTTCAGCACTCAGCACCTCATGTTCCAGCAGTGCCTTTGTGCCTCTGCAGATGCTAGAAAAGGCCTCCAAAGAGTGGAAAGAGATGTACCACTGCTGGCACGAGTGCAGTGACAACTCCACGCACGGATGGTAGCTGCTTTGGGCTACACAACCCAACTGAGAGCACCTTCCAGAGACAGCATCCCAGTGAGGACTGGAAAAAGCAGGACCAACACTCAGTCACAGCTGGAGAAACACGACTGGTGCTCAACAAGATGGTCCTGCTTGCTTCTGGCATCTCATCAGTCTGCTCCTCCTTCTAGCTTAACACGAGGTCCAGCAGTAACTGGGTTCACAGACAGCTACAGGAGCCTCCACCAGTGCTGCAGATGCAGAAGAACCTCAGAGAGTAACAAAAGAGACTTGGATCTGAAGGTTTAGTGTTCCTCCTGGTAATCTGAATAGCATTCAAATTTTTATTTGAACGCACATGATCTCTAAAATCTTCACTAGACACATTGACACAGCCAGCATCTCAGAAACTGAACTGCAGCTGAGAGAGTAGGAAAAGCCTGTGGGACTTCAGGGGTCACAAACTGGGCAGGCACCATTGGGGAGGAGGAGAGAGCCCTGGCTTGATTTTACATTAGATCACACCAAAAAAAAATTAAAAGTTGCTTCAATTATCAGCAGAGAAATTCAAGCAGGTTATTTTTAACTTTACTGGCGAATATCTGGTCTGCCATCAGCTCAGCAGTTAGCTCTAAATCACAACTGGGATCAGAGACAAAGTCCTTGGGCCCTACTTGCTCTCAGTGAAGTACAAAGCTTTGCTTCAGCCCCACGCAGCCACGTTAGCCTAGATTTACTGGTTTTACACTGCCTTAAGAACTGGATTTACACCGGGAGCTCTCGACCCGCTGCAAAAAGCGGCGCAGCTCTCCTGAACAACCCATGAGCTTCAGCCACCTAATGATGTCTGCAAGGTTTGAGATGTGAAAGCTGAGAGGATGACCCAAAACAACCATCCTTCCAGCAAAGCTCTGCCCACCCTCTCTCCCTTTTGCAAAGGTGACTATGTGACAGATCACAAAACAGCGGTTAAAATATTTGGGCTTCTCCAGAAGGCTTGTGTTTGTCCCTTGAAGTATCAGGCCAGCCTGCAAAGGGAGGGATGTGATGCACGGTTCTTCGCTGGTACCTCAGTAGTACAGCTGCAGCTTTGGTCAGCAGTGGCTTAGGGGTTCAGGAGCTGCTGGTGGCCTTTGCCCACTCAGATAGCAGCGTCCTGCCCATCAGAGAAACACACACTATGAGTGAAAGCTCTGAAATTTGTCTGGTGACTGGCATTAGACAAAGGATCACCATCCTCGGGAAAAGGAACACAAATTTAACCAGACAATAAACTGTCCTGTTTTTAAAAGAAATCATCCAATTTCTGTTCCATGATCTCCTCCTCTCCAGTGCTCAGAAACCTTCCACTAACTTCCAGACTGAATTGTTTCTTGGCCAGTACGTAGTCCCTTGTCACTCTGCCAAAGTTAATCTTTAGCTTAAGTAGTATGAACAACAAGGAGAAAAATAATATCCTCTCTGCATTACCAATGGGATACAGAGAAAAACCCCAGGTTTTCACAAACGGCCGGTGCCTTAACACAAGAGCTGTCACCCTCAGCCCATTGACTAATTAAAAAGCAAAACCAGTCTATTTAATCTCTAACACATCACAGCAATAAATCCATCTCTACTTAAGACGAAAGGTGCCCTAAGAGCTCTATCAACCCTACCATGATACATGATTTATGGGTATTAGGAAATTCAGCCTGGAGGCATCGAGGGGTTAACAGAGTGGAGTCTTCACAGCCCAGCATGGAGCCCCTAGGAATGACTCTGGTGTCTAGGATCAGAGCTTTATCACCATCTTATTTCATGCGCTGCCCAAGTATGACTAATGGGAGTTTGTGGAAGGAGTGGGAGAGGGGGTAAGGGAGCTCTATCAAATCTTTGACAAAGTCAAACCACAGCTGGTTACAATAAGGATAAGGGATGGAGGTAGTGGTGCATATGTGCATGAAAGTCAGCTCTGGGGATTAGGAATACCTCACATGGAAGCTGCGCTGCTGACACATCTCATAGCAGCTCCCTTGAGCTCACCAATAGCCAAATGACCCATCATCCCCATCAAAACAGAACGTAGTTTGTTTCCATAGCAGCTCTCTGCCAGGCAAATATTACTGATCAACCACTTTGTTATATTCACATGGAAGAAGTCAGCAAGAAGGTGGCCTGAATGTGCAAGGTAAGCCAACAGCCTTCCAAAGCCTGTGACTGAACCAGTCCAAAGAGACTTGGCGAAGGAGTAACATGGTAGAACATACCATGGCATCCTGGAGCAGGAAGGAAGCTGTGCTGCCATATGTGAGGCTGCAGAAGCAGTAGATGCTGCACATAAGACATGAGCAAGGTGGATGTAACCCTAAGTGCTAGTCTAGAGGTAATTCAGACACAACTGCAAACATCTCCTCAATTTTACCATCCCTTGTTACAATGGAAGGGGCCAACTACATTGCATGATCATGGCCTACATCCCTACATGAGAGGGTTGGGGTTTTTGGATGATTTTTGTTGTTACTGGGGTTTGTTTTTTTTTTGAAGTAAAAACATAATAGCTAGATCCCAAATAAACAAGAATGAGCTAGATCCTTTAAAGGAGATGATACGAGATGGATTCTTCACCTGCTGTTAAAAGAACCGAGTATTGCAACTACTTCTGCCTATTGGTATGGATGTGAATCACCCACATGCAGCTCAGAGGAAGTTCTCCTTCCAGTCCTCATGCACAGCTCAAGAGCTCACAGTAAAACAAAAAGCTTTTTCTTTAAAGTCCCTGTGCTTCAGAGCAGCACAAAGCAGCTGATGAAAGCTCCGTCCGCTGCGTTCCCACAGCCCTGGGTTCCTAAGATGACCCTTGGGTACGATCCGCCACAGGACCATGGACACAAGGTCTTCTGACCCACCAGGGCATGCAGCAAAGCCAGCCGTGGAGATGACCCTGGAGGCTTCCCATGCGAAAAGCAGCGTGCTGTCCTGACCTCACTGAACCACTTCTCTCTAGGGAAGCCGACAGCTTACTGCCCCGTCGTTCATTCCTTCATCTCGGAAAGCGGGAATGTTCAATTCCTGCAGCCGCTGGAGCGGCCTCATGTCTGCAGGACACGCTCAAGACAAACTGTTGCAACACAGACTGTTGTCACCCCTTTATTCTCTAGACCACTACAGCCTTGATCTCTTCTTGCTTCCAAGCCCAGATGTTTTCTTCCTGTTGTTGATTATTACTGTACAAATGATGTCAGCTGCTGAGGTCTGAAAAGGAAGTTGCCAGCTCAATCTAAGCTCAAAGCTTGCTCCAAAAACAGAAACAAAAGGAAGAAAAAAAGAGAAAAGGAAAAGATCATTTAAGTATCACTTCATCAGTACTGAAGCCTTCAAAGGAGGCATTAAATAGCTTGTGGTCCTTGTAGTGGCTCCCTGCATCACAGTGAATTTCAGGCCTAATCCTAATGTTTCTCTTTATTTAAAATACCCTCTCAGCAAGTTACATGGCAAAGCCAAGGTCAGGATTACAGTGGCTTCTCAGCTATGAACAGAAAACATTCTGTAGATTTATCTTTTGACCTTCTGAGACGCAGAGTCCAAAATGCCACAGCCTATGGCTTACAAGGAAGCAAGCTAGTTTATATCAGCAAAGTAACTGCTTTAAAAAAACAAAACAAAACAAAATAGAAAAAAAGGATTTAATATTTTACAAATCATCTGCTTTTTTTCCCTGGGTAAGATACTGACAAGATTTCAAAATTACTGGATAGTCTGTTTATCGTTTTCCCAGGCAAACCGAGTGTTCACCTCATTTTGGAAGGCAGTGGGATTTGAGCACCTGCATACCCAACACACCATGATTGTTCCAGCCACGATCACTAGGACTGAATTACCTCTCCGACGTGCCTGGCTTTGCTCTCCCATCATTCCATACAGTTTCAAGTTGCTTACAAGATGCATCTGCTCCTGCTTCCAAGAATTTACCAAGTAGCCACCCATCACTCCTGGCTGGTTTTCTGCTCATGATCCTTCACTCCTCCTTGGACAAATTAATCAGCTCAAGATTAAAGGCAGACAATAAGCTGAAGTGAGACAACACCACCTAACCACTGTTAGCTTCTCTGTGTGGCTTTGATACACCCGAGCTGGCCTTCAGACACACCGAAATGTTACACATCCCATGAGCCGAAATGGTTGAATGCTGCAGGAGAGAGATAACAACCACCAGTGCACCAGGCACTCGATGTGAAGGGAAAAGCAAAAACTCAGAGGAATTGATTTAAAGAGAATTTTCCAAGTATGAGGGAAGATAAAGCAGTATTGTTTTAACACAAGCAAGAAAAATCCAAGTAGGGTAGGAGAAGCGACAGCACTAGCGTTTATTAAGCACATCACTGAGGAGGGCATGTATTAAGGTTGTTATTTAAGCAAACCTTTGTTCTTCCTTCAGCTGCTCTATCTGCTCACTTACTTTCAAACCATCCTGACCCCCTATCTGCAGAGCACGCTGAAAATGGTACCCAATCTGCTCTGCTTTATTTCTGTACATCC